GGGTCACTGTGCAACATGTTAGAGCTTGCACACTACCCAGCAGGTCACATCTGATCAGTCAATTTCAGGTGTCATAGTCTAAATAATGTCTTGTTTTATTCTTGCAGTCAGCGAGAGGTCATTCTCTCACACCCTTAGATCATATGTGGACATGGTGATGGTTAGGTTAATATTTGGATGCATGTGTCATGTGTGTTAGTAGCTGCATATAGCCTTGACCCCTGTGCACAGATGGTCTGGGATCTTTTGGGCCTTATTGAGCATCTCTAGTGGGGAAACTGGCTCACCGAGTGCTTGCTGGACCCCCCCTTCCACCCTTTTGTTTTCAGGTTTCCCTATGCACATCGTTAATGTGGCTGGAATGCTTTCTGATGCATTGGTTCATCCCATGCTGGAAGGCTGAAAATAGATCCACATATATCTCTGACAAAGTAACAAAGTTGTGGAAAAGCCTTTGCTCTTAATCCAAAAACAAATCATACACATAATTTACATAGCTTAAATTTGGTTATCATATTCAGTTGTGTTTGCTCTTGTTTACTTACAGTTGCAAATGCTTCCATAATCCAGATGACTAGCTGTAGGCCTAACATTGTAAAGTGGATTTCTGGTTTGGAATGTTTTTCCATGAAAAGTAAAGGGTTTCTGCAAAGGTCAGGCTGCAAAATTCAGTTTAGGTGAAAAGATTTTGCCAGAAAACCTGATTAAGCAACTTCGGGTCTCTGTTGTTTTTTCTCTCTCTGTCTTTCTGACTCCCTCTCTCTGTTTCTCCCGGAAGTCTCCAGGCAGTAGAGGGACAGAGGGAGAGTTCATCCCTTTGGGAGGATTTAGAGGGCTCCCTTGTCTTTCACTTCATCAGAGACAATTGAGTCATTCATTCCTATTGTAGCTACGCTGAGGCAAGGCAGGAGAAGACGAGGCAAGACTTGAGGGTTTGCTAAAGGGTGGGGGAGGCAAAGGGGAGCCCCTGCTGTTGGGGCCCCAGGACAGAGTAAGCACTCTGGGTACGTCTGAAGGCTGAGGGGGAGGGTACTGAGTTCTCCGGAGCTCCAGAGCAATTTGTCACATCAGAATAGTACTTGAGTTACGTGAAAGGGGGCCTCCTAGCTGGAGAGTTTTTAGTAGGCAGAGAAGAGGCAGGGGGAGGTCAGAGGTCATGGCCTTCTCAAACCCAAGTGGTACGTCCGTCAGCGGGCCAGGGGTGGTGTAGGGGGTTGGGCTGTGAGGGAACACTGCTGGGACTTTGGCACTGGTCTAGGCTCAGCTTTCCTTGGCATGCTTGTAAAACCTGCAGGAGGGATTAGACCAAGGGAAAGGTCTGAAGTGGATACGCCTGTCAGAGTACGTGCACTAAGCTTTCAGCTCCCACACTGGCAAGGTGTCACCTTTCACCCCATCCAAACTAAACTGCATAGCGCCGGAGCACAAGACATTACCTGGTCCTACCTACCATGATATTACCTAGTCCTACATGCACACACATTTCAAATTAAGACTTATTTATGAATATTACATGTTATTTTTGCATTAAACTTGAGCTGATCCCAACAGGTTCTTAAAAATTTGGCATTCCTGTCCACCTGTCAACAGTAGGCTTCAGTATACCAGCAATTGTTTGACTAGTTGGAGGTGGGTATGTTCAATTCAAGGCTGAGGTAGGAGTCCAATAGTCCCTCCAGGCTGGACCACAGGACTGCACCCTGCTGTGAATCCACCTCTAATTAGCTCTGATTCAGTGCTATTCTTGAAGACACATGAATAGTCTTAAAACTACAGTTTCACTTCGTGGGTACTTGCTTAAATGGCGAGCCGCAGAATCAGGCATTTTTCTGTCTTTGGCAAAGAATGTCCTCCTAAGAAGAGTAAAATCTCAGAAGCCTGGAAAGGTCAAACAAACTTCACCGATAGGCCGTAAGAAGGGAAGGCGTGAAGCTGTTTGATTGGATAGAGGAGGACAGAGAGTAAGAGCTGAAAAGTTGACCCTGATTGGCCAGATCTGGTCAGACGTGGGAATGAATTTGATTCTGATTTGTGGCTCACTTGGGCCAAGTTTTTTCAGTTGATTTGGAGCCCAGTGGTTGATGTCCTGGCAGCATCGGAGACCAAGTTACAAGGCTGACTGACTTGTCAGAAGTTTCCTTTGGGGATCTGATGAAGTATAGCACAGCATGCATTAGTCCTAAAAAGAGGACAATTTTTTATGTAGAGTGTACTCTAAATTCATTTTTCATGTTATGGGCCCAAGACTGCATCCAAAATTGCGCCAAGGTTGAGAAAATGAGCCCTAGCTGCTGTCTACCCCACATTTCTTTCTATCTTTTTTTTTCACTTCTGTCCATCATTCCTCCTTCCTTCTGTCCTTTCTTCCTCCTTCCTTCCTTCCATCCTTCATTTCTTTTTTCTTTCCCATTCAACTTAAACGTTGCTTCCTTAAATATTTTTTCATCAGCCAAGCCCACATGCAAATCCACTCAACCCTCCAGTGTTTTAGCATAGATGGTTTGAATGCTTATTTGAATTTATTGTCATTGAACAGAGCAGCGGTTTCCAATGGTCACTTTTTTTTTTACCTCAAGTGTATGTTGCTGTTCAGGTTTCCCATAATAACAGCAATCAGGATCCAGTTAACCCTTGACCTGTGTAATACAACAGCCACACTTCAAGTGTTAGGAATGTGCAGACCCTCACACTTCTCCTGATGAGACACCCATGACTCAGATAGCCATAGAACCCTGAGTCCAAGTCACATGTTCACAATCAGCCGGTTGTTTCTAAGCCTCTATGGAAACAGGTTAAAAGTTCAGGGGTCAAGTTCACTTGCTGTGGGCTAATGGACTAAGGACATTAGGCAAACCGGTTTTAGGACAGTAACAGCAGGTTTGTAACGGGCCCCAGCATGTGATCTCTAAATGAGAGGTCACTCAGGCACATAGGGTACATGTAAACGGGTGGTCTGCTGAGCAGATCCTGCAGTCCATAGGTGAAAACAGACATATGAATTCAGACATATGATTCAGAGACTGTGTCCATCAGCAAGACTATATGTCAGAGTTCAGGGAGATATTAGAGGCAGAAGAAAGATGGAATGATATGCAGACTTCCTTTCACTGAGTCAGCTGGATAGGAAGCTCAGACTTTTACCTACAGGTAGGGTTGTGACGGTGAGGAAATTTTCCCACCGGTTAATCGACTCCCACAGCTCGGATTCAGCGCGAACTAACATGGCGGCGCCCGTCACCCGGTATAAATCAACTAACACGGTCGATATAAAGTGTTTAAACTACCAAATAGATTTAATTGCACATATTTCAGAATCGGAATATCAGATATTTCATAATATAGTGAGCATGTTTTTGAATATTTTGAATAAAACAGGAAAAACGAAATAAAAGCGATCCATGTGTCATACAGATCTATTGTGGCTGCGTTGTGTCACATGACAAGAATGACGCGTCACCATGGAAACAATAAGGCGATACATTTTAAAATAACGGTCGCCTAAAAAAAACTCACGCTGGGGGCTCAGCTAGAATATTTAAACTCACGTGCAAAAGGGTTAAAAGCGCCGTGCGCATTTTACTTTCACTTTTGAATTAGCGGCAGTTAGGCGTCAATTGCTTGAATGCAACAACAAAATACAACATTAAAAACTCACTTTAGCCTATATATAAAACATAAAACTTTCATTAACAAAACAAATACACCATGCTATAGGGCAGGCTATGCCTAACATAAAATAACAAATAACTTACATAAAGTTTCGTAGAACGTTTATTAGCAAAACGAGTAAGACAGCTTGGAGGCACGGCATACACCTTGATGTCAAGTAAAATAAATAAATGACACAAAGTTTAAATAAAGTAAAAATCAGCAAACAATGTGGAACCAATTAAATAAGAAACGAATGTTAAAAAAAACATCCAAAATCACCTTAGATAAACGGCAAAAGTCAACAGGCTTTTCAAAATCCAAAATATTGCCAAACTGGTGCTTTTGCATTTTGCTTCGAAACTAAATCATCCGCGATCGTCTTGTCTGTCTCACCTCACTCTTCTTGTCAGTCAGCTCGACTCACTCTCCTCACTGGAGAAATGAAATCTGATCTGTGATGCGACTGTCATTCGGCACGCTGCATTGAACATTGTTCAGTTCAGTTTTTAATTGTAGTGTCTGTTCTTTTACTGAACTAAATGATTTTTATTTCTATAAAAAATCAAAACGACGGTGGGGGTCGGTGACGCGGTGGGCAAGTGACTTAACCGGTGTTGCGGCTTAACACCGGTATCACCGTCAACACCGTCTATCGTGGCAAGCCTACCTACAGGTATGCATATGAATGCAATATATTTTGGGCATATGCCTTTTGCAAAGAATATGTTCAAAATCTGTTTGCATATATATTGAGGTCTCAAAAAATTATTTGATTTTACAGTTTAAATTAGGAGTTTGAAAATACCATGGAGATCTTCATGGTGATTGTGGTGATTATTTTCATCTGTTGGCTTTAAGAGCGATGTAAGGGTTCATGAAAGGGCTGTTTGCATGTGTACACCTCTGATAAAGTCCGGGTCAATCATTCATGGGGACAGTCGCTGCAGTGACTCAATGCCACACCCTTATTATGTGTACTGGTAAAAATGCTAAAGTCCGCCTGGAATTCCAGAGGCCAATAAAACATTTGTGCCTGATTAATACAGGAAGAAGAATGAACATATTCACCTGAATGCATTTGAGTGTGTGGTTCAAAATGTGCTGTTTTTGTGAATGACAAGCATAAGGTGTAAATGAATCGTAACACCAGTAGTTTCAATTTTCAAGAAGTTCCACCTCATGCATCATTCGATCTTGGATTGTTTTGACATTTCTTTTTTTGTTTACTTTTACTTTCTGTGTCACACATTTTTTTTTCTGATATTTTAGCTCTGTGTTTCCCTTTGTTTTCTGCATTGTTAACATGTTTTTCTTTTGTTTTTCTCCATTTTTTTCTTTCTGGCATCCAGTATCTACAGATGAAATGGCCCCTGCTAGATGTTCAAGCAGGAAGTCTTCAGAGTAGACAAGCACTTAAAGATGCCAGGTCACCTTCTCCAGCACACATCGTTGTAAGTAACACCCATGAGTCATTGCATTTACAAAGCTCTTTGTTCTACAGCACAGTCCATGAAAACCAAACTACTTCCAGTATCCTGTATTGTTGGGTTCTTTGGATCCTTACACTCCTCTCCTAATCCACAGCTGTCAGTTGGTCTAGTGACCTATAAAAAAACTGTAGATCAGATTGTGTTGGAATATTATATATCACATGGGTGCTTGTTTTGTAATGCGCTAGTCTGTCATATGGCTTCTTTGTGGAAACGAGGGTGAGATTTCAGTGTAGCTCAACAGTTTTTTCCCTTTGAATGGCACAAAGTGGCAGAGGGCAAGACTGTCTTTTTACAGTGGAGACGGATAATTAACGCCCATGCTAAGCATGGTTCAGGGAGTGAGTGTCTGGAGTAGAGATGCTATGTTTATTTTGCAGTTTTATACGCTGGATCTGCGAGTGCTGTTATCCATGTGTTTAACTCTAAATTTTTCACTCTTTTAAAATCTACAGACGATAAGGGCTTCAAGGTTAGCCACACGGCTGGGCAGAAATAATTTTACCATGTTAAAACATCACGTTATTGATTCCTTTCCTTGGACAATAGACCAAATTTGATTTTGGTTTTTCTATTGTGGTGCAGGAGTTTGGGGCTTCATTGCGTTTCCATAGTTACTAGAAACAACAGAGTGCCTCCAAGGTCTTTTTTAGGAATACAAGAGAATAATCCATCGAATCCAGGATAATATTCTGTCAGAGACATAAACACATTTTGAACATACTGGATTAAATTTGATTAGTTGTTCTTACTTTAAATAGGTGTGGGTTGTTTTGGTTGGTTGTTTACCATGTTATTGTGGTATAATGAGATTTAATATTCCCAGTTACCTTTAAAGTGGAAATTAAAATGGGAGTTTTTTTATTTTTAGTATGTGCCTATTGTCTTTTTGAGATACTCTTAAAAGTTGACAAAATAACTTTTAGCAACAAAAACAAACAACAACAACACACATTTATGCAATCTTTCTCTTCTAGACCAAAAGTAAAAAGTAGAGAATCATGGTTGTCTGTGACATAAACTAAAAACTATTGGCTATTTAAAGAGTTTTTTTTACATGTTTTTTCCACTTGTTGCAATTTTAGATAGACTACTATTAAATAGTTTGAGGTTGGTAAGATTTTTTTTTAAGGTTTTGAAAGAGGCTTGTTATTCTCACCAAGGCTGCATTTATTTAATCAAAAATACAGGAAATACAGTACTATTGTGAAATATTGCAATTTAAAATAAAAGAATTCATGTATTTTATTCATGTGATGACAAAGCTTCGAATGGTAGTGTATATATGCCACTTCAGTTTTAAGTATTATTAAAGTATTATTAAGTATTAAATAATTCCTAGGCTACCTGATGAATGAATTGGGAACACTACTAAAGAGCCATGTAATGCTTCACCTATTATATGCTAAACTATTTTTGCATTTAAATGTAGGGTAGCCATCCCATGTGCTTTTTTAAGAGAAAGAGAAAAATGATTGTCCTCCCTCTCTGAATCATTAAATGTGTGGGAGGTAGTTAAGAACAGGCTCAGGTAAATACTGCACTTGAGTTTTATCCCTCTGACTCATGAGGCTGTAAATGCTTATCAGCACAGAGCAGTTTTCTCTATTGCCTTTTAAAACAACCTACAGCGAGAGAGCAAGTATTCATATTTTGCTCTATATGGTATGTTTAGCTATTTAGCATTTACAGTCGTTTATTTATTTGGTTCATTCGTACGATTCGTATCTGTTTGATCAAGACCTAACATGGTATTTTGGATTATTTCTTCATCCTTCCGTCTTTCTCTCTCGCTTTCCCATTCGTGATCCTTCTCTCTTCTGCTGATGTGTGTTCGATTTGATGTTACCTTGGTTTGCATCATGCCGTTGGTGAATCTGTCTGGAGACAGTTGGTATTGTCAGGGATAGATAACTGTGGAATGCCCTGAGCGTTTTTTTAAAAAATGTTTTAACTCAGGTTGGCCTATATGCTGCAGTACGTGAAGGCCTTATCAATAAATTGTACCGTAAACAGTAGTTTCTCTTCTCTGTCAAATTGGAAGAACACCTGCCCACCTTGACCCATGGCTCTGAAGACGCCTGTCTGCCGTGGGCTGATAAGAGCGCGCCGATGTGCGTGAGATAAGGAACATAAGCCGAAGTTCAAGTGACCCAAAAGTCACCAATGAGAGAGATACAAATGCACAGGTGGACAGCGGAAGAGAGGAGGTGATACCGTAAAAGGATAGCATGGCAATGAGGTAGACAAAGTGAGAGCGAAGAAAGAGACACAGAGAGAGAGACAAAAAACAAGTCTAAAAGTGTAGCTAAAAGAGATTGAAGTAACACACAAGGCAGATGCTTGACATAAGTTGCATTCACACAGCAGCAAAATACAGTTGTCAGTCCTATTCTAGAGTGCTAAATATGGTTATTTTCATACACAGTTCTGTTATAAACTGCATTTTATAACCGAAGTGACTCTTTAAAATTGTTATGGCTATCACAAGAACAGAAAAAGGGCTTGACATGGATTATTTGTTCATATAGAAAATATACAAAAAACTCCTCATATAAATAGCTCAGTTTGAAAGTTGCCTGTGCATGGATGCCTGTTTCAGCCTCAGAGGAAAAAATACAGCAGGAAATCTTTTAAAAATATTAAATTAAAAAGTATTAAATGTATTGTCTTATATTATTTATTATTTTTAATTAAATGTTGTTTAAAAAAAAAAATCACATTATGAAAAATAAATCACGGTTTTGAGATATAATTTTTATTTTTATTTTTATTAATCTGAGGTGGAATCCAACCACTAGTTAGTAAGTACTGTTGTCAGTCTTAATGGGGTCATATGATGCGATTTCATTTTTTCCTTTCTCTTTGGAGTGTTACAAGCTCTTGGTGCATAAAGAAGATCTGTAAAGTTGCAAAGACTAAAATCTCAAATCCAAAAAGATATTCTTTATAAAAGTTAAGACTTGTCCACGCCCTCCTAAAACGCCTCGTTTAAACACGCCCCCACATGTATACGTCACTGTGTGGGAAGATTTGCATAACACCGCCCAAATGTTCACGCAAAGAAAGAAGGCGCGTCACACGCTTGAGGTATTCAGCCAATCACAACGCACTGGATAGCTGGCCAATCAGCATACACCTTGCCTTTCAGAACGATAAGCTTTGTAAAAATCGATGCGTTTCAGAAAGACAGGGCATAGAGGAGAAACAATAATGTACAGTATGTGGAAAATTTTTTATTTTAAAAACAAACAAGCAAGCCCTGTCCAGATTTAAAAAGTAACGCAAAAGTAACGTAACGCATTACTTTCCATAAAAAGTAACTAAGTAATGTAATTAGTTACTTTTTTTATGGAGTAACGCAATATTGTAATGCATTACTTTTAAAAGTAACTTTCCCCAACACTGATCTTTTTTTGTTACAGTCACATGTGGCCTTAGAGGTGCTACACCACACTGCTCTATGAATAGAGCACAGGAAGTGACCATCTCGTTTCTGTCCACGCCCATAGAAGGCAGTGCCAGGATGTTTGAAGTACTTAAGAGCCCCGCAGGGTTTTCAAAGCCTGTTAGTCCCACACAGTCAGCATGCATTTACTACCTGTTCACAAGTCATAAAGAACACATCACTGCAAAGTACCACAAGCCGTTTGTCCCACTGTCATCTCCACTAACTTTTAATGTGATTTGTAAAGCCCTTTCTTTATATAGACTGTAATATAGACATGACAATTCAGACAGGTAGACTGCGAAACACATGTGGTGTGTATTTGGCATCGGACAGAGTCTGAACTCAAGCACGGTATGAGCGGGGATCATGAGATTGCAATTCTAGTGGGAAGGAGTTGGAAACAACGGAACGATAGATATCCCCACATCTGTGACACATTGGCCATTCGTTCCAGGATCGGTTTCCTGTTCTCGTTCTCTTGCTCGACTTGCATGCACGCTGTCCGTCAGTGTTTTCCTGTGTAGCGTTTCTTGGTGTAGGCCATATATAAAACTGGTAAAGCCAGATGTTTGACTCACAGAATAAAATCTGGGCAGCTTTTTATTATGGTCAACAACTGTCTGCTTACACAGGAAATGTCAATTTCATTTTTTTTCAAAATTAATAAGTACTGATTATTTCACAGACAGAGAACTAAGGGGCAACTAATTAAAAAATAGATATAAAAAATATTAATACATATTAATAATATTACATATTATTATTATTAATAAAAAATTTTTTTTTGAAGTTGACTTGAGTTGGAAGTGCAATAACCATACCCAAGGCAAAGCCAGTGCAGTCATTTTGCAGGTCGGGTGACATACTAAATTGTTAGTGGAAACTGTGTATATGTGTTGTAAATTATTTGATCAAACTCATTTTATTCAGATAAAATCAGTGAAATAGAAGTTAATTGATTGCTGGCTATCTACCATAGAGTTTAAGTTCATATTTAAATGCTACTCTCTAAAATAATGCTGAGGCAAAAGGATACACTCACACACACAACCTCATGCAGGCGCACTACACAAACACATTGTCCTCTTGCTCCAAGTCTTGTTGAGACTGGACAATGTCTCCATTGTTTTCTGGGCTTTCACAGGCAGCAGGGGATGGCTGGAGTGTTAACTATTTCCCCACGAGGCCCCACAACAGTGTGCATATGCGTGCAAGCACTATGTGCAAGTGAACCAACAGCAGGAAAACGCGGGAACAGTGAGAATGTAGAGAAAGGAGGAAGAATATAAGGGGTGGAGCTTGAAAGAATAGCTGGAGGAGTCCTGGTCTGTTCCTGTATGGTAATTAGTATTTAGGAAGTGATGGAATGTGTTGTGTTTTGACAGAGCGGGACCTCCCACCTGAACCGCTGTACGATGAGGGCATGATTGCTGTTTGATGTCACAACACAAGTCTGTCGTAGCTGAAGTTTAAACCGTTCTTAAAGTTGAGTATTGAAATTAACGTTATA